GCGCGGGCGCCATCAGCAGCGTCTGCGGGCAGAGGGGACGGCCGTGAGCACGGGTGCAATCCTGTGCCGAGCGGGCAGTGCCGGAGCTGATCCCATGGGGAATGCCGGTGCTGTGCAATGCCAGCGTTGATCCTGCATGCAGTGCGGGTGCCGAGCGTGCAACGCCAGGGCTGATCCAACGTGCAACGTTGGTACAGAGCACCCATGCTGACCGCACAGTGCCGGGGCTGGTCCTGCACGCAGCGCTGACCCTGACCAACACCGACACCGACACCACGTGCAATGCCAGTGCCGACCATGCGATGCCGGTGACGATTCCACACGCAGCACTGGCACCGACCGTGCAATGCCAGCGTAGACCGTGCAATGACGGTGCTGATCCCGCATGCAAGGCTGGTGCTGAGCGTGCAAGGCCAGCGCTGCGCGCGTGTGCAAGGCCGGTGCTAACCACGCACTGCCAGCACCCATCCCACCTGCGATGCCAGCACCAGGCAATGCGGGTGACTAGACAACAGCGTGTTTACGGATCTAGCAATACCCTGCACTGTACTTGCTGTGATTACTCACAGACAGGGTCCTGCAGGATAAAGCTGTAACTCACAGCTTTTCAGCAACATAGGATCATTCCAACCACCTTTTTCTAATGGAAAGTTTTCAAGATTTCAAGGTCGCTTGCAGGGGGAGGCTACAATGGGACATATGAGAGCCATTAATACATATGATAAGGAATTTGAAGGGTCAGTTATTCCAGCCATTCACTGATAGCACCCATGTTGCAAAGTAAGTAGCCTCACTCTCTACAGGTTTTTCTAGAGGCATGATGGCACTGAACCATTTACATTATGAAGAGAAAAAAAAAACAGTCAAACATACTTGCAGGAGAATATGGACACAACAACCCTATACCATGTTGTTTCATGGAAAGCTGCTTAAAGAACACCAGATTACTACAGAATTCCACAGAAAAAGACTATCCATTAATAGATCCCTCCCCTGTTCACATTTAAAGAATAGTCCATTACAGAGGAAAAAGATTGCACTGGATCCATTCCTAGTACTTATTCAGTTCCTTTAAGTGTTAACTTCATCCCAATACCCTAACAGGGAGCAATGGATGAGGGAAAAACAGGACAGACATTCAGCTAGCAGCCCATAATTTGCATTTGCAGGAAAATACGAAACATCATTTAGTTCTTCTAGTGAAACCTTCTGTTTAAGGTGTCTTTATGGGGAAAAAAAACCTCATCCTAACTTTAAATAGGGGAATAAGAGAAGCTCTTCAGAAGCTTTAAATTAAGAATCTCATTAAATGATTGGCTGAAGCATGGTCACATGAACTGGTGAACAGATTGAATCCTGTTAGTTTGATGCAAGTTACTTAGTCCCTTCTTGTCCATTTATATGTCTGCCTGCTTTCTCTGTCTTGGATTATCCCTTTGGCTCATTTTGAGTTCCTCCTCCCACCCTCACCATACATCTAAGCAACAAAGAAAATCTAAGCAGATAAAGGAGGAGCGGAGTAATGTTCTCATCACTTTCTGCTCCATTTCCCAGAGAGAAAGAAGAAATTTTGTACTGTTTAATATACACAATTTAAATAAGGTGAATTTGCCTCCCATGTTTGGGAAGCAAGAGAGAAAGCTAAGAGCAGGAGGGAAAAGCACAAAAGGCCAGGAAGCAAAATCCACCAATATTTTGCTGTGAGGGAGGTGACCCACATGGGGCTTGATTATACATTTATTAACTGATATGACTGTAAAAACAACAGGATAAAAGAAAAGCAGCTGGCAAACACTGTAGCAGCAGAATAAGCATACAGACAGTAAGCCTTAATAAAACCAAACAGGACAATTTTCTTAACCTCAGCTATACGTTACTCAAGATTATTTTTAATATAGTGTTCTTTAGGTAACTTTTTCTCATTAATTATCAACATGAATGTCAAGAACTAGTGCATGATATTTGCCCCCCATTCATCAAAAACTTAAGCACATCCTTGATGTGATTCCAATAACCAGAATGACTTTTGCTCAGTTGGGTCCATACTTGAATCTATGCTTTGAACAATACATGTGGTTCAAGACCATAAAACCCTAAGAAAACACTTTACTCCTTGTTCTCTGAGCTATATTTTCCCCAGAAGAAACCAGGATTTCACACAACTCCCAAGATATAAAATGATGGTGATTCATGTCAAGAAAAGATGCATATCATCCAAATTGAAAGCTCATCATGACTCCAGGCTAAACTGATGACCAGTTAGTAGGTTGCACGTAGGGCCAGGAGCGACGGAGGGGGCGCCGGGAATAACGGTCCGGCTTTCCTGGGATGGCGACGCGGGAACAGGGGCCCGGGAAGACCGCGGTCCCCTGGGAAAAGCTCCCGGAGCCCCCATCACGGTGCTGGCCAGACCCATCCTCATCCAGCACCGCTTCCCGCTCCCGGCCCTTCCCGGGAATCGCTGTCTCCTTCGCTGCTGTCCTCCAAACGCTGGAAACCAGGGGGACAAAGCGGCTCCTTTAGCCCCGCGGCTGTGTCCATCCCCGGATAAGGGGCCAAACCCGCTTTTTGGGGCCCTTTTCCCATTCCCAAAGTGGACACAGGGTGATTCCCTCCCCTTTCCACTCGCGGGATGAGGATGATGAAGGGGACGCCCCGCAAGGCTGGAATCTAGGTTCATTTTATTGTAGCAAATGGCATGTTTTTCACATATCAACATCTCTACATTAGCAATCGTTATAGCTCTCCAACTTTTTTTTTCTTTTTTTTTTTTAAAAAAGGATAAACGAGAAGTGACCAAAAAACGCAGGCTCCTCATCTCTTAAAAACAGTTGAAAGTTGGATTCGAGAAGACGTTTATATGTTTTGGTTTTAAGGTAACAGAGGCGGCGCGGAAACACTAACTCAAAGCACCGAGAGGAGCCCGGGGAGCCCCAACGCGACGTCCCCGCAGCCCCGGGGCCCGCGGCGGCACCGGCCCCTTCACACCTGCATTGCCCCAGTCATCCTGATTCTGCCGGCTAAAGATAGGAATTTTTTTAAAGCCTTTTTTTTTTTTTTTTTTTTTTAAAGCAAGCAGAGGAACAGGGTAAAATGTAACAGGTTATAGGTCCTAGAAAAGGCCTAAGGTTATTGCGGGAATTAAAGATGATGGGTCCAGGGCAGGGCTGGCCTGGGGCGCCGCGGCGGCCTCTAACAACCCCTCGGGGTGGTTTGATTTAGTTTTCAGCTTTTAGCCATCATTCAAGAAAAAAAAATATAAAGAAGTGTTTAAGCATCAGAACTAAAATACAAATGCATGTTGACGTTATAAAACAAAAAGGTGGGTTTGACCATGGGCTTCCCTGATGCTGTAAAACCAAAATTACTTTTTTGCCCGCAGAGATTTCCTCATGGTGGCTTTGCCCTTGGCAGAGGGTTTCACCTCCTTCCTGCTGCCGCCGGCCGCGGGTTTCTTGGCGGAGCTGCCGCCCGGGGCCTTCTTGATGGCCGGGGCGGCCGGCCTGGCCTTCTTGGCCGGCGTCTTCCCCTGGGGGGCCGGCTTGGCCTTTCCCCGCCGCGCCGCCGGCGTCTTCCTGGGCTTGGGCTTGGCCTCCCTGCGCTTCATCGGCGGGGCCCGGCTCCGCGATTTCGGAGGAGGCCTCTGCTGCATCCTGCGGGAGAGAGAGCACGGAAGGGTCAGGGAGGCGCCGAGCGGCTGCTCCGGCCGGGCACATCCCTCGCCAAGGCTCCCGGATGCAGCAGGGTGTTTGGTTAATCCCAAAGAGCAAGGATTCCTGCGGGGGATCTTGCCATGCTAAGCACTTGGCAGTCAGCTAGGCTCCCAACTCCTTCGTTAGGCATAAAAATATATAAACAACAAGGATGAATCCAATGTCGGGTTGTTGGTTGAATCTAAGTCAATAATTCAAACACTGAATCATTGAATGAAACAATTCAAAGACCAAAGCAGTCTCTCTTGCCCTCTACACGGGGGTTTTATTACTTAATGAACACTGCTCATCTTAAATCCTTCCTCTGAGTGAGATAGGTTTCATATTTGGCTACAGAACAGCAAACGGTACTGGAGGGAATAGTTATCCTAATGAAACACTTAATAAACACCAAAGAGTCCCACGTGAGAGCTCACGCTTCCGTAAAGCACAAAGCGCACGTGGGAGCACTGAGGAAACACGGAATAAACACGGGCCCTTCCCCTCTGCAGGAAAAAGACTGTTTCCAATTACCGAGTGAGGAGATGGGTATCTCTGGAGGCAGGTGCTGCTTCCACAGGCTGCTGAGGAACAGCACATGTGCCCGAGAAGTGCTGAGAATCCAACCGTGACGGGAATTCCCTTTCCCAACGCAGCCCTGCGGATCCGCAGCCGCAGCAGGAGGACCCCGCGGCTCCACGTTTCGTCTTTGCGGGCCAGGGAGCTGCTGGGCGCTACCGCGGGGTCGCTGTGAATCCTCCTCCCTTTCTGGCACCACGTCATTTCCAGAGATCCAGAAGGATCCACCAGGAAGAGCGAGGTGCTCGTCTACCTGCTTACTTCTCTTGCTGCTTTCGCATGCTGCACAAGGGGCCACGGATCTCCAATGCTACCATACCTCTTCTTTGGTGGGGGCTCTTCCTCCTCAGACTCTTCCTCTTCAGACTCCTCTTCCTCCTCAGACTCCTCCTCCTCTTCCTCATCAGATTCCTCTGAGTCCTCATCCTGCTGCTTCTCTGGGTAGAGCACATCTGGGCTACAAGAGCATTCCTGTTAGCATGAGACTGCTCACCCCGGGGCCAGGAAAAGCCTGGGGCGACCCCGGCTTCCCAGGCACCCACAAGGCAACAGCTTCGAGGCCAGCCCAAAAACACCCAGCTCCCCTCCCGAGGCTGCTTTTCCCCTTCCTCATTGCTCCTCTCCGCAGGGAGATGGACCAGAGCAGCCCAAGATCAGACATCCGTGGCTCCGAACATGGGCGGGAGCCGCTGAGGACGGACACGCTCGTAGGGAAGGAAGGTGGAGGCAGAGGCTTTATTGGCTGCGCTGCCATTTGGCTCTTTGTGGGACACATCCCTGTGCTCCAGCACAGCATTCACTCACAGCAGGGGCTGGAAGGCTCTTTGGGGCCCACGGTAGCTAGTGCAGGTTACCTGTTACCTCCCCTCTGCCCACAGCAGCGTTTGTTCCTGCTCCCTAGGAGCATTCTTGCATTAAAAAGCACAATACCCTCTCATGCAAGTTTGTTTTAGCATGGGAGCACTTAAGCAGCCACCATCCTGCAAAAAGTGCCATGACAGAATAGCTGAGAATATTTAGCCCAACATTTTCATTTTGTTTTACTCACTAATGAAGTTTTACTTGCTAATGAAGGCAGTTTTATGTCCACTCACAGCTGGTCACCCAATTAAAGGTGCTGCCTAAAGCGAGATGGACGACAACGTTGTGGTTCATCGACCCTACAAACACTTCTATGAATACGAAACTGGCCTAGGAAATTCCACAACGCTATCTGGCTGTTCTATGAAATATTCACCTTCAATAGTATTTAACAGACCAGCTCTTTACCTGGGATAATAGGGGAAGCAAAGCTGGAAAGTCCCACTGAAGCCCTTTCCAGAAATCTGCTCCATCCATCCATTCTTCTCACATTTCTGCAGGGTTCTCTTCAGTAGGTGCACTGTGAAATGGCAGAGAGGTGGCATTACATCTTTATCCACTCACCCATCTCAAAATTCCCGCTTTCTGCAGTGAAATCAGGGATGGACAAACAGGATGAAGTCTCCTTTGCCCAGGACACCTCGAGTGCCCGGGACCAGCGCTAGAGATCGGAGACTCATGGACCCAGCTAGACCGCTGTGTTCAGAAGCAAACGTGGTTTAAACTCTCCAAAGGAGGAGGCCAAGGACAGAGCGGGTGCTGACGTTACCATCAGGGGCTCCTCCTTTGTAGATAGAGAACCACTTCTATCAACACTCAATCCAAGCCTCAGCTTTCTTCAACCAGTTCTAAGAAGTATAATATATATTTTAAAGGCTCTCCTCTCATGTTCTAAAATTTTTTATTTGTTGCCTCTTTCCTTGCTTTGCCTTTTTTTTTTTTTTAATGGGAAAATACTTGGTCTAGAAATATGACAAATATGCATTTCACTCCAATCTTCTGTTCCACTGAGCACTGTGCAAGCAGAGCTCTGTCTCTGGCAAAGGACTAAAGGTTCAAAACCATTTTCAGCTTAAATTAGGAGGATCGTATTCAGCTCCCTCCAAGCTAAGGGAAAAGCAAGCCTTGTCCTGAAGCACTTCCCAAAGAGCTCCACCCGAGCAATGGAAAGAGCAAAATCCAAAGTGTGATGGTTAAACTGTTGCCTGCATCTGTTCCGCATGGTTAATGGAAAGGTGTTCGCTCAAACTGGTTATTCAGTGCCACTGAAATGGACTTTTATCAAGAACTGACATTTCACAGCAAGAAATTCACTTGGGACACTGCCATACCTTCCCCAGCCTACACACTGCTTCTGCTGAGAAGTTTTAATTTAACCAGCCCTGGAAGAGCTTACACAGCTAATTGAATGGGTTGTATCCATTAAACTATTAGTGTTCAAACATCAGGCTCTTAAGCATCCATGAACTTTTTTTAAAAAGAAAACACACTTCTATAAACAGGGGCAGCACATAGAGTATCAGGCTACTTTTACTGGGAGCACCAAGGATTGATAGCAGCAAGGAAAGGATTTGGCTGGAGTTGTAACCCATTGGGGAGGAGTGTCGGGCACTGCCTCTGCCTGCTTTTACATCTCACCATCTCTTCCTCCAACAGCTCCTAAAAAGGAGTAGAGATGGTCAAAAGGGTTTTTCATCTAATGGAAGAAGACAGAAAACAACAGAGCGCAAGCGAAATTTCCTTATCTGACCTGCAAGCCTGACAAGCGCTGGAGGCAGGTTAAGCACAGGCCTCTAAAGACCAGGGCTGAAGGCTCCAACGGTCCTGCAAGCAAATAACGCAAGGCCTTAGTGAGCTCGGGCACTCTCCTCCCTGCCCCGAGACCAAGAAGTCGCCCTTGGCATCATCCCTGATGGGCAGAAGGCCTCGGGCAACTTCTCCGGGCCCCGGTGCAGGAGCCAAGCCGCGCTCCTCGGCACGGCAGGGAGCCCTGCGCCGGCACACGGAGCTGCTTCGAGGTCTGGCTCTAGCAGAGGCTTCCAGCAGCTCAGGCTGCTTCAAGGGACCTTCCACTCGGGTTAAATAACTGCACAGGGGCTCAGATCAAATAATGCAAAGAAGCCATTAGAAGATTTAACGACTCTGGTGTCCTTGCTTCTGCTAAGGCAAAAGCCAAAAAGGGCATTAGTGTCATTACTGGGAACAAAGAGGTGCCAAATCTCTTTCCAAATACAACAAGTTTTTTCCCCTCACTTGCTTAACCTTTTAAAATCAGAGTGAGGGGAGGGTCTCCAGGAAATCAATAGAAGGGGTCTCATAGGATTTTTTAAGTTAAATTGTGCAACTCTTCTAAAGAAGACTGCTATTTGGAACTACCTTCATTCTGAGCTGTAGCCTCCCAAAACTGAGTGAGACACAAAATCAACTTTGTGATTTAAGAACGACGAAAGACTTGAATAATACTCTCCTTCCTTGGCTGCAGACAAGAGAAACAAGTATTATGTCCCAGAAACTTGCCTTTGTCAGGCTTGAAAGGAACTAATGGGAATTAAAATACTGAGCATCTCCGCATGCAGTTTTCACTTGGCAGCACAAAGAGTGGAGCAGCTGCCAGTTCCCCAGCAAGCTCAGCTGGACAGCTCAGAGATGCAGCAAAGATGCAGCTGCAGGAACTTTCACGGTGTGAAAAGAGAGTCCCAAAGATGAGTACTTTACCCTGGAAGTTGGAGTTGGTCCCTGGGTGGTTTTCCAGGATATACTTCTTCAGCGCTGTGGTGGAGCAGGTCTTCGGCTCATTCATGGCAGCGATAGCAGACAGGATGGCGTCTTCCATCAGAGTCCCACCCAGCAGGGGCTTCTCCCCTGATTTCTTCAGCTATTTTCCAAGGAGGAAGAGAAAAGCATCAAGACAAAATTCTCCCAAACCAGGTCAGGACAAGCTCCTCTGCACCAGGTGGGTCGGCGCTCCTGCATTAGCACAGATACGTTTTATATTAAAACACTGCAGAGGGAACGCTGCTCTCCCAGCTTTAATGGGAGGACAGGCCTATTTAGTCAACTGGCACTGGAGTGCTTTTCATGAGTACCACCTTGTCCCCATCCCAAAATGCCATGCGAGCATGTGGCAATCTACAGGCCTGTCACCAGGGAAGGGAATAAACCAGATCTTCCTCCATCCCACAGACCAAATGTACCCAAGAGATGGCACAGACCCGAGGAAAAGACACTGCGGACATCTGGGGTAGCTACTGTGCTTGCAATTAGTGATGGAAAGTTTACCCCTCCGTCTCCCCTACTGTGCCAGTGAGTCAGAGCTGAAGCAGCGTGAGGCACGCTAAGCGGGGAAGGCAGGGGGGCTGTTCCAGAAACACAGCCCAGGAGGAGAAGAGTTTGACAAGAGCTGAAGAGGACAGGCTGCTCAGGAAAGGGGGACCCAATACAACTGGTGGGGGGAGAGGAGGGGAGGGCACGTTAGCACAAATCCAAAGGATCGAGGCCAACGGAGCTAATAAAGCAAGATAAACTCTGGCTCTGACCTGGAATGTCCCAGACGCTCCTTTGCCCGTGATCTGCTCTAACTGGCCCTTCTCTACAGCTCTCTGCAGGGCGTTCTTCAACAGCTGGGGTCTGAAACGCAGGCGGAGGGAGCTTTACTGACACACACGGACACCGTGAAAACACCAACAGAGAAACAGCACCTTCCACGGAGCGGGAGGAGAGCAGTGCTCACATGGGGGATCTGCCTACATACAGACATTTTAAATGGAGATCTGTTAGCTTAGATGAAAAGAACAACGTGCGTTAGCGGGTAGTCAACCGCGAGGCTCTCCTGGTGTCCCTGTGTGCCCAGGGCAGAGCAGCTTCACGTGGAAGGATCTACTCGTTGTGAGAGGCACACGTGGAGACAAGACTCCAAGGCAAGGAGTTGGGCAGCTGAGAGCTGGACGAGGGATTGAGCCCCTCGGAAAGGCAATAGACGGTTGTCCTAAATTTACCTGCTCCCCTGCTCCCCAACCTGTGGGCAAAGCAGCAGATTATTGTGTGCACCAGCTAAAGCATTTAAAGAGAAGTGTGCCAAGACACCAAGAGGAGGCCTTCTGATCCGTGGGACTGGAAGGAATTCATTTTGGTTAAGGAGAGAGATGTGTGGAACAACGCCCGTCTCAAACGTCAGTGTGTAGAGAGATGCAGAAAAAGGCAGAGCTTTCCTGCAGCTTCTGCAACACAGAGCACCACCTGCCTGCTGCCGGATGAAATACCAGATGAAATCACCTTGAAGGGAAGCAAAACCAGAGGACACTCGTGTTTCAAGGCTACCTGGGAGTCCTGCTTGCAAAAGTGCACCTACCTTACATCTACTTTGAGTTTGGGGTAATACTGAGACACGTATTTCTTGATCAGGCTGTAAGAAGCTTCCTTTGGCTCACAAAGGCGGGTGAAGGCCAGGGGCAGGATGTCTTCCAGCTTGACCTGCTGCTCTGGAGTCGAAGCAGAAGTGCTTCTCTGAAACACAAGTGTGTTTAAGCATCAGTAGGACTTAGGGCTTTAGGTCCTCTAAACCCATGACGTACAGGTGAGGAGAGTTACTCCTGATATTGGCCCGGATCCTGAAAAAGGAGTTCTATAAAGCAGTTCTTTACCCTAACCATTTAAATGTTTGGCAGTTCAAGCAAAATCTAGGTAATTTGGCTGAAGTCTCATAGGAGTCTTAGGAAAGTTTTTAATACTATCATTGCTGAGTATCCAATGACATCTGTATTTTTAATGTTTTCCCTCCTCTTTTGCAGGACTCTCGCAACCCGCAACAACGAGAGTCAGATGAAAATGATTCATATTGACAGGAAATGAAAAAGCATAAAAGGCAAGACACTATCCTGGGTGTTTACACAGACCAAATCCACTGCAAAACTGAGAGCCAAGCATGACTGTGCTTTTTTAAGTTGGCAGGAACAAATCTTGGTTCTTTTTTCCTGAATTTTCCTTTATCATTTCCCTACTAAGAGGAAGGAATGATTAGAAAAGAGATCTTTATACAGGAAAGAAAAGGCATTTCAACAAGTGAGATCTGAAGAGGAGCTTTGTGGTTATTCCTGTTTCTGAACCAAAGCCTAGTGGTTTCATGTAAAAATTTAAAACCTTAGACTTTAACTTGGTTTTAATTTTTCATACTAGTTTTCTGATTGATTTTAGTGGAAAAGATATTCAAGGGGAAAGGTACATCAAGGGGGAGTAAACTGTTTGGGCTGGGGTTAAGCACTTTTTGTAAAATATATGTGTTGCAGTGGCACCCGCCAAAGATTTTTCAGAGCAACGTTTAAAATGATCCAACTTACCTTTCTGTCTCTGGCTTTCGGAACAGTTTTTCCTGCATTAGACACTACCACGAAGCTGCCGGAAGCTCCTTTCCCTTTCACCTAATTTGAAAAAAGAAAAAAAAAAAAGAGAGAGAGAAAAAAAGGCTATTTCAGTGTTTATCAAAGCAACCTACAGTAGTAACCATTGGAAAAAGCTACTTAGCATCATTAGAAAAACTTAGGATGCACTGTTATCCCAGCAATGGGCTTTATGTCAGAGGCCTGATTCAGATCCACTGCTTTCACCCAGGCAACCTGTTCAAACGTAAAATCGACGTTTCCCTTAATAATACAGGGGAATCTTCTGTAAGATCAGAAAACAGAGCTTGCCAGCAAGACATTACTGACATCCTCTTGTCCTGAGCAGGAGGGCCTAAGAAGGTTGATGCTACAGGCATAAACACCCTTGTTAAAAGCAGCAGCTGCTGCAGGAGCGAAGGTGCTGCCCTCGGTTTGGAGGTGCGTGCGGTTGCAGCGCTACGTGACAATTCAAGAGCAAGAAACAGCCACTGCGTCACACAAAAGACACCCTGGCAGGGTATCCGATTCATGGAACAATGCTGAAATTCCGTCAGCGCCTAACGAATTGGAGACCGAGGTTAATTAACCTCCATGAGGGAGAACATGATCCCCCCCGAGAGCTGCTAACGGAGTTTCTTAAATTCCTCTGTAATTCAGTAATGCCACCTCCAGGGCTGTTCCACACAGCACCACTAACCTGTCTAATGATTCCTCTCTCCAGCTCCCTCTTGAGCGCTTGCTTTAGGAGATAGCCTCTCCTCTCCAGCTCCAGGGAAGGGTATTTGTGGATGATGTATTTCCGGATCGCGACCACCGAGGCGCCGCTCTTCTGGAAACAGGCCTGAAAGGGAGCGACGAGTTAGCGGCGGCCGCGTGCACGGTGGCTGCAGGAGGGACATCGAAGGCTGGGGCCATGCACATGGGCCAACGCGGTGGCACAGGACGCCAGGGGTGGCCTTCCTGGGACGATGTGACAGTCTAAAACACCACAGGGTGAATAACGAGAGCGCTTGGGTGGCTGGAGAGCAGATGAGACAGAACTGGTGCAGCGAACACGGGGACCCCCTCCCCTATTGGGAAGTGACAATATCTAACACAACACTCTACTACAAAAATGTGTCACCTTTAATAACAACTGACACTGCACAACCAGCAGGCCAGTTTACTTGTGTCAGGTAGAAGAATCAGGAAATCATGACAAGCTGCCATGTTTTTTTTTTTTTCTAAAGGAAGTGGAGGATTAAACATTAGCAAACTAATAATAAAAAAATAAAAAAGGGGCATTTTGAAGATCACTCTCTCTGAAGATTCATGGTAGCTAGAAGTCCCCCCCATTATGGATCAGAGCAGGATTATACCAAGCAATCCTGCCTTATATTTTAGGGATTTGGCAGGTCATGGAAAACCCCATCTGCGACTTGATAAAACTCTTTGTTTAAGTCTGCAGATCTGTGCGTGAAATGAGCGTCACAGGGAAGGCAGCAGCGCAGTGTAAATAGAGCAGCAAAGGTCTCTTTAGGAGGAGGGATTCAGTAAACCAAGACCAACATCACTTTGGAATGCCAGCTTACAGTATTTCCAGCTATTTTCTATTTCCATCTATTCCTGCGTTAAGACAAGTTAATGCTGAAAAGGATTAACCAAGGTCAATCGAGTTAAACATGCCTAAAAGGCACACCAAATTCAAGGATGCCAGCAGTCAACTGGTTATGTCAACAAAGCTGTTTCTAATAATGTAATTAGGCAGGGAAAGAAATTCTAAACAAAGGAAAAAAATCCCCAGGACCCCTTGGTTACATCATGGATTGCAGTGCAGTTCTGTGGGCCTTCGGACCGCTTGTCACCAACGATGCTGAAAGCAAAAATGTTTTACCTAACAGACAGCACCAGCACCTCCAAGTTGAAATTGCAAATCTTAGGCATGCAAATTATTCTGCTCTGTGACAGAAAACCAAACATTCTCACCTTGATGGCCTCAGTTAAAATAGCATCCATCTTGGGACGTGAGGTGGCAGCCATCTGAGTTTGCTTTTGTGCTCTGGCTAGCTGGCTAGCAGAAAGAGTAGCCCACGCAGGAATGGTCTTTTTCACCTTCTTCTCCTTTTCCTTGGACTGATCCTTCTCGCTTAGGAAAAATACAAAGCAACAGTAAGACAAGAGACACTGTAAAACAAGCCACCAGGCAGAACACAGAGAAAACACCGAGCGCTTCACTCTGAAAATTATTTGAAGAACATTTTGATGCTCTGATTAAAAAGAAAAAAAATACCCAAAACACCCTATCTGAAGCCTCGGTCTCACGACATGTTCCAGAACAGCTGCTGCACTTGATCACTAGCTTGTTCCTTGGAAATAAGAGCATCTTTTTTGGGGATCCATTCTATTTTTCCAATCTCTCCTGTCACCTTGAGCCTGACTCTCTCTACAATCCTACCCAAATTCCCAGTTTCAGCCTTACTCCTTTTTGGTTTCTTCGGAGGACTTTGTTTCCCCCTTCCCTTCATTCTCAGGTTCCTTTGGCTGTTCTGCTTCAGCGGACGCAGCAGGAGCAGTTTCACTCTCTTGCTCTCCTCCAACAGAGGCAGATTCCTCAGAGGTGACTTCTGGATCTAAGAAACACATGAAACCGCATCAAATTACTATTGAAAACTAACATTTACTCTTCAGAAAGACAGAGGGAACAAAAAAGCTTACGGACACACCCCAAAAATGAATTCCCACCAGACAGTTTCTATTCTCTGATTTAAATGGATGATTTGAAGGTAACTTAAGAAGTGAACAGAACTATTGAAAGAGCTTCAGTAAGGCGCAATGAGCCATCAAATGCCAAAATAACTTCAAACAATATCACACAGCATTTTCACAATGAATTAATTCCCCCAGTCTTCTCTAACTCCTGGAAGTTACTGTTGTAATGATCACTCATCACAGATGCCTGGGGAAAAAAAAGAGAAGAGGAGGAAATCAGTATCCAAACAGGAAGATTTTGGCCTACATTACAAACATTTACATGTTTTAAGTCAACGAGGTGCAAAACCGTATAATTCCACAGGAGATCTGGGTAGATAAATACAGGCTTTTAAAAAAGCTGGAACCAACACGTATCCACGTGGGGTTTTTTGGTTGTTTTTTAAACAAGCAACTTTGTCTACAGCTGATTTGTTTTCAAACACCACCGTTCTTGCACTCAGTAGCGTGGTGCTTGGAGGAAGTTAGCTGACAAGCTCAGTCCTATTCTTGCAGGCAAGGCAAGCTTTGGATTGCACATGCATTGGCAGCAGCCCTTGCTTATCAGCAGGATCAAATCCAGTCAGAACCCAATCTACCCAACAAATTAACTCAAGAATTTGTAGCTGTGGGTAGGCCTCAGAGACTGGATAGCCTAGCAGATAAGATGCATGTAAAGTGTCCTGCCCCATCACTGCGATGGGGTTATTTATCTGCCCTGACTACAGAGATTCACTGTCTTGGAGAAGGAGCTGGAGCACCCCACCAAGTTCCTGTAAGTAATTTTTACATGGAGGGATCACATTTTTCACTCATTAATTCCCCTTTTTGATCTCAAGCCATTTTCCTGTCACTACTGAAAGCTCCCATTTGCCACCTTTATTCTAAAGGCTGAAGAAGTTGCAAAAGGCCACGTTGAGCTGTGTTTTCCTGTCAGGAGAATCAGGGCTTCACTGCAGGTTGTGAAGGTCATGACAAAAGAGAGAAAAGGGTTTCCACTGGAAAGTGGAAAACACACCTTCTGCAAAACACACCTTCCCAAAAATCCAGGAAAAAAACTGCGAAAAGGAGCCTGGCGATTGCAATATCCTAAACAAAACAGCAGATTTTTTCAGGAGACACAAGTCTGTGTTTTAAGAGAGTCATGGCCATACCTGCTTTGACCTCCTCCCCTTCGGCAGGTTTGCTTTTGGGAGGAGTTTCCCGGGAAGAATTATTCACGGCGCGGCGGATCGGCATCGTGTCGTCTTCAACCTTCTATAGAAAGCACAGGAAAAAAATCAGTACGGATACGGGAAAGCATCAGGAAGATTCCGAAATGGGATTAAAGTTCCTCAAAGAGGCAAATGCTGAACTATTTTTGTTACATTGGGATTTTTCAGCATTTTAACTGACAGTAACACTCAAGCCAGCTTCTCTGAAGCATACCATGAGAGCACAGCTTCGTGTTTTGCATTTATAAGAGCAATAATCTCTTTTCAATTGCAATTTAAGTGAGAAGAACATTGCAGTATTTTGACAAATGCAACATCTCAGGGAAAGGAGGGGAGGGGAAGGAGCCTGTGGGGTTTAGGAGGCTCCCAAGCGTGTTTCCTACAAGCAAGGGAGGAAGACTCTGAAGGAAACTCTCACTTAACTTGTCCGTGTGGATCATCTGAGCTCCCGTTAAGAGTGGAAGCGCCTTATGATGCACGGGTTCAGCTTCAGACAGATCAGTCGCCATTTAAAATAATTTCTAGCCCCAAGTGCAGGGAACACTGTGGAGCCCCAGGTTTTAACCCCAAGGACCTTTTCCTAATGGTTTTCACAGTGCAGTGAGGAGCCAACCTGAAGTACAGAAAAGATGTGGTGTGAAGGTTAACGAAACAAAAAACATCTATGCGCATGTATCTAACAAACTAAAGATTAAAAAGAAAAGGAGGATAAATGACTTACAGCTTATGACTAACGCAACGGAAAATCAACATTTGCAGCAGTCAACAAAGATGCTAAAACACAAATGCAAAATTAAGCTCTAAGGATGTGGCAGAAATGGCAAAGGCACAAGCCAGGCCTGCAGCCTGCTCCATTCATACGTTTCTGAAAGGATAAAGAGGCCGTGGACATTAGCAGGGAGCGTTAACGAACCCCACGCGCTGCCCTGCGCCTCCACGAAGGGCTGAGGCAACCAGCAAGTCGCTGCCTTCGGGTGAAAGCAGGGAACCGAATCAAACCATTAAATCCATCATGCAAAACGTAACGTACAGCGGAGACCCCGCGTTCCTCCCCAGCTAAACCCCATGCAATGGAAAAAGCCCGTCCCTCGACGAGCAAATAACCATCAAGGAGCAGTCTCCAAACCCTCGACCATAAATTAAGGCTTTACCAAGCTCTCCTCTAAGCAAAATCGTCAGTACTGAGTGTTAGCTGAAGCCTCTTGAACAGCTGCTCTTCTCACCCTCACGTTACCGTCTCTCTTCTACAGCCTCTCTTACCTGTCGCCCATTCGCCACTTGCTATTTCCATTGAAAAATGACCATTTCCTCTCTTATATTTTGGCATCCCCTCCAGAGCCCTCGGGAGCAAAGCTCATCCCGGCACCCGGCCTGGAGCAGCTCCCCGGAGAGCCCCGCGCTCCGGCCGGCCCTGTCCCTCCCGAGGGAAGAGCCACTTCTGCAGGGGCTGCAGCTCCTCTGCCCCTTTGGAAAAATCAAAGCTGAGCGGTCCCACAGCACCAGGTAAACGGATGACAGGACAGCGCAGGATGTTGGGACAATACAAAGAAAAAACCCACTAAATTCAACAGATAAAATAAATGAGATGAATGAAACTTGCTTATGAAACGCCAGGATGGGAAAGCAAATACAAACACCCTGTTGGAATATGGAAACTATTGGCCAAGTACAATTCTTCCAGCTGTGCTATGGGGTTTTCCTCTCTCAAATGTGGCAAGTGACAAGAAAAATGTAAATATCGGCAGGTTTCAAATCTATATCGCAGTTTTCTCTAGCAAGTCCGAGCTGAACACCTTTAAAGAAAGGCACCATCTTCAAGCAGGTCCTCAAACAAGCAACTAAAGAGCAAAGCATCACTTTGTGGACTGAGGGTGCAGTGTCGCGCTGCTCCATTTCGCTTCTCAGAAGGCTAAAGGTTTTGCAATAATTATGCAGAAAATGTATGCGGGGTCGAGGGGAAGATCCAAGTGCTGCTCTGGGGCCTCCTGCAGCCGTGGGAAGGAACTTGCACTTGGACAACCTTTTTATTCCCCCTGTTTCATAGCCTGTACAAATGGGACTCTTCACCCAGCACCACGGGATAGCTCAGGACTGGGAGTGAAAACTAAATGGTTTCCCAAATAAAAGAGCACACGTATTCCAATGGAAAATATCAAATCACCCAAGTCAACTGTTACCTGGATACTCTACTTCGTGCATCGAGTACTGAGACATCTTTAAACGCGTCCCGCGGCCGTGCTTCCAAGCGTGACTCTCAATGACAAAAGAACTGGAAAGTAATAACTGTATTTGGTATTTACACAGCGTTCAGCAAAGCAAATGCTTTGGAAGTGGGAAGGGAGACCATCGCTTAAGGGAATGACGCAGGTTTTCAAGGCAGTCGTTAGGGACGTCGCGGGAAACCTCCTCGTGCGTCAGCGGGGGAACATCAACAGCGAGCGGGAATCCAGGCACCAGCCTTTCAAAAGTGCCTTCTAAATCCACCTGTGTGCTCCTCCGCCAGCGATTCACCCCCGTTTTCCTGTGAGTCACCGGCACCGCTGCACGGAGCGGATCCCAGATTCCCGCACTATCACAAACCGCTTCCAAGCGGGGGCTGAGGAGCGGCAAGGAATCCTGTGGATTTCTAGGTGCTCCTGGCTCACGCAGTGGTGATGCAGACACTGCTATGGGGAGCTTTTCCATGAATTCTTACGGAAAATACATCTATACAAATGTATTCCTCACCTATTAGCAAACAGGCAAAGGAAAAAGAAAAGGGAGAGAGATGGGAACCGCTAAAGAAATCAACCTGAAGCATCGTTCGGTTGACTCCTTGCGTTTCTATCACCCGGAGTATTTTCCAGCTTTTTTAAACGGCAATCTCTGGGAAAAATGCGGGAGGAAAGCGGGCCCTGAGCACGGCAAGACAACTGTCACAGGACTGCGGTCGGGCAGAGAGGTGATGTTAAATGAAAGCAAATATGCCCTGGAAAAATGGGAAAGCGTATCCCATCCCGCGCTGCCAAGGGTGTCCGCTTTCGTCCCCGCGTGCGCCTGGGGACATGGTGAAGAACAGCCAGCGATTCGGGGTGCAAAAACACCAAACATCGCCTGGCAAGCGGCTCAAGCAGGAACGGCTGTTTTTTTATTATTATTATTAGAAAGGTTTAAAAAGCAAAATAATGGGATTTCAAGCAGATTATTGTGGAATTCTGTCCTGGTTTCCAGTGGCTTCCCTTTCCCCCTGCAGCTCACCGAGCAGCCCGGGGTCTCGCTCAGGGCTGCCCAGTAGCACCGGGCCAGCTAAAACAGCCTAAAAATGGGCCACGCAATCAAGTATCTCCCCGACTAAAGAGCACAAGTCACTCCTTGCTTCGAATCCGTATTTGGCAAAATTCCCCCCCACCGCAGCCGTTTGGCGCTCACGCTGCCCGGGGCCAGCAGCAATGAGGGCCACAGCACCAACATCCCGGGAAGTTTCCCTATTCCAGGCGAGCAGGGAGTGAATTTTCAGCGCTCAGCCCTGCGGATCCGTTACAGGCTACGCCAGCTCCTTGCTGCTGCGAGCACTAAAATCCATGTTGTTTCAATTAAAAAGAAGAGGGGTCCAACACGACGATCCAATAGCTCGCAACTTGCCAGGCAAGAAATTCTTTGGCTTGACTAGTGCAACAGCTTCTATTCTCACAAAATCCTCCTGTAACATTAAGGAGGGGGAAAAAATCTCCCACGGTTGTTAGGGTGCCGATTTGGGGGAGCACAAGGAGAATCTGTTTCATTTCTAATAGGCAAGGAAATGCAGTGCTCCACAGGGAGAAAAGTCTGCAGGGAACTTCAGGCTGGCCCAAAACATGTTTTCACCTCAGGGAAGCAGCCAGAATTGGGAGCTCTGACCCTGCTGCTGACACCGGCCGCGCTCCTTGCTGATTGTCGACTCTTACATGGCAAAGCCCAGATCAAGCACCGCTGTTCCGGGCTCACACACGGATCCGGCTCTCGCTGCAGAAACAGGAACGTGGCTACGCTCGGGCCGAGCTCCCCACCTGGGGCTGAGCATCTCTGTAAGGCTTAAAAAGGGAAATGCTGAAAGATCCAGAGTCTTGGAGGAAACAACGTCGTTGCAGAACCCAATATTATGAATATTGACAATCCACTGACACTTGAATGTAAGTTTATGCCACTAACATTGCATACTAAAAGAGCCTTTATAGGCAAAATCATTCTTGCCTTAGTTTAAGTTTGAAACTACTGTATTAACCCTTCTCCCAAGCTATTACTGATTCAGCCATCACTGATTATTTTATAGTACAAAACTGTACAGAATAAGACCTACCATTTTCTCGTACTCTGCATAAAATCTACTCACACTTCATATTAGAGTCCATTAATGCAAAATTCCTTTTATTCTCTTATGGAAGGTTAAAATCCTCCAAACACCCTGGGTCACTGGTAAGAAAACACAAAAAGCTCAACCATGGGTTTCTATTGGATACCCTGGGTCACTGGTAAGAAAACACTGACAAAAGCTCAACCATGGGTTTCTATTGGAAGAGAAAACACAAGAGAAGAAGATATTCTGAGGACAGAATTATTCCAAGCAGGTTTTATCCAAGAAATGCGCGTGAAGGATTGCAAACTTATTAGCAGGCATGCTCAGGTAAAGAGGAGAAGGGGTGCAATAGTTAGTAGGTATTTTCAGGGTTTATTTACAAAGCTCTTCCCCCACAGCAGATTTGATGTGTATTTTTCCCCTACGCATCTCTAACTTCCAAGGGCTTCCCAACTTCATCCACCGATTTCTGTAAATTCCTCTTGAGGAAGGTAAGTGCTTCCTCGTCCCTCCTCGTCCCCAATCCCGTTGTCCCCACGTGGCAGGAGACTGTGCACAAACACCAGCACTTTCCAACCTTCGCTGCTTGCCAAAGATTAGCCAGCTAGTTTGCTGAAGATGCTATAAATGGTAAAACAACAAAACAAAATAAAGTTGCATGCGTGGAAAGCAGAGAGTGGCTATTCCTCAAAAGTAAACAAAAAAGAAGGTTAGGAACTGGAGCGTTACATGTTTGTTAGCCCAGAAACAATTTAGCAGCCAAGCAAGACCTGGGGGGGAAAAAAAAGTAACCTGTGAAACACCAAAGGGGTAAGAAAAAGTGCCCGCCTGGAAGGGGCGTCCCAGGAACGAGCCCATTCCCGAGGCTGGGATCAGGGAACTCTCCTGCGGACACCTGTGACCAGGAAGGGGTTGGGGAAGCGGCAGGAAGGGTTTGTTGTGGATCGTGTCCCTGATCCAGCGCCGGGTGAGCTGGCACGAGCCACGACAGTTCAAAGTCCTTCGGGAATCTGGTCCATTGCTTCCCCCTCCTAAGTCTTTGGAGGGTTTCGAGCAAAAAATAAACACGTCCCGGAGCAGCGATAGGGTGACAAATCCGGAACGAACGCGCTCGGACGCGACCCAGCCTCCCTGCCTCCGGGACTTGGAGCTTTCCGTAGGGAGAAGCACGCGTGAGAAGGGCAAGTGGATCATGAGCGCTCTGGTGACGCGGGAGGCAGCCGGAGGTGTCCGATGTCCCCCAGCCCCGTCCCGCCACCCGAGGGAGCGCGGGCGGCCTTGGCGCTTGGCTGGAGAAATGTGTTTGGGGAGGAAAAGAGGAAAAACAACCGGCACCTGGAGGGGCAGCCGAGGTGCCCGCAGGGGGGTGACCGGGTCCCTGCAAGGTGCAGGGGGGTGACCAGGCCTCCCCGTGACCAGGTCCCTGCCAGGCCAGGGTGGCCAGGCCTCCCTGTGATCAGGTCCCTGCATGGGGCAGGTGGCCAGGGCCCTGCAGGAGGGGGTGACCTGGTCCCTACAAGGTGCGAGGGCGTGACTGGGTCTCCCTGTAACCAGGTCCCTGCAGGGGGGGGTGACTAGGCCTCCCCGTGACCAGGTCCCCGCGCGGGGCCCGTGGCCAGGCCTCCCCGTGACCAGGTCCCTGCAGGGGGGGTGGCCAGGCCTCCCCGTGCAGGGGGTTGACCGGTTGTCCCCGTGGGGGGGTGCGGGTTGAGCCGTGTCCCCGCGGGGCCGGGCCGAGGGAAGAGGCGCTACCGAGCTAG